GAAAATTCCACTTCTCCAACTCCCAGTGGATGACATACCAAGAATTTACAACTTTGAGAAACGCCTCACTGTAGTATTGAGTAATAAAAAGAATTGGAAGAAAGAGACGCTTACTCAGCATATAAAAGATCATACCATCATGTGGTATACGGATGCTTCCAAAACCAAAGCAGGGACAGGGATAGGAGTATTTGGGCCGAAAACTGAATACTCCGAACCAATGGGCACCTACCCCAGTATCCTTCAGGCAGAAATTTGCGCTATCGAAAGATGCGTACAATTTATCTTAGATAGGAACTATTGAAAACAGGAAATTGTCATCCTATCGGATAGTCAAGCAGCACTTAACGCGATCAACTCAGTAACCATCAATTCGAAGTTGGTCAAAGAATGCCTGGAGAAGCTCAACAAATTAGGCAAAGAAAATAAAGTCCTCCTACTCTGGGTGCCTGCTCACCAAGGGATAGAAGGCAATGAAAAAGCAAATGATCTAGCTAGAAAAGGAGCGAACATTCCACGAACTGGACCAAAACCGTTCTGTTTTCCAAACGGGAACCAACTGAAAGCGGAACTGAAGAATCTGGAAGACTCCATCCGTAACTTGGAATGGGTGTCCTCCAACGGTCTAAGATACTCGAAAAAGTTCCTTAGAACTTATGACCGAGAAAAATCAAAGGTTTTCCTTGATTTAAATAAAAACAATCTTCGGATTGTCACGGGGTTTCTAACAGGACACTGTCTCCTCAACGAACACCTCAGTAGGCCGAAACTGAGAAACAACGGCGAATGCAGATTTTCTGGGGAAAATGGGGAAACACCAGAACACCTTATCACTGAGTGCGCCGAGACGACGACCATTCGTGCCATGAACCTTGGTACGTCTGATGTCGAGTATGGAGAGCTGGCCTCTGTGGAGCCGTCTCAGATACTGGCTTTTCTTAAAGCCCTGAGACTGTATGATGAGTTATAACTCGTTATAACTCAAGAAAGGGGAACACACAATAGATCTATAAGGTCGCGGTGATTAACTCCCCTCCTAAACATTCTACATTCTACATTCTACATTCTACAAGTCTATAGGAAAGAAAATTCCAATATTATATAAATATTTCGTCCAGCTAACACTTTCCTTATTCCCTCGCGAATAGCTTCGTCTAGTTTTGTAAGTTTTAAGCTAGAAACAACTAAAGAATTTCGGAAAGTTATTGTATTCCACAGGAAAACGTAGACTCGTACTCCCATTGATTTCTTGTTAGAGAAACTATTACAGGAAATGGGCTTCATCTCCAGGGATGACGGTCGAGGTCAGATTACACGAAGAAATACATATTTTATGGATTTTGTAATCCCTCGGCTTCTTGTCGAATTATCGTTCTACGTTTCGTAAAGTTTCATATGTCTAAGAGACAAGAATCGATTTTACTGATGGACTGGCATTTGAGAAGATATGGGGAAGAAAAAGAGGCTTAGATTTATGATTTTTGGTTTGTGATAATGCAATTTTCCCATAATGATTTTAAAAATTAATTAAAAAATTAATTGAGTTTATTCATTTGCTTCACTAATCAACTGTCTGTCATACATTTTTCTTCTGATTTGATAGTCTACAGTAAAATATTTTTTGTGTAGGATTATGGGTGCTATATTTGTGTAATATAAGTTTTGGATTTTTTTAATTTTTTGTTAAAAACATAATAATAAATATGGCAAAATAAATACTATAGATTAAATCTAGAAACACGAAAATCTAGTAAAAAATGGGGTTCTAAAAATTAAAGCAAGCAATTATTTATTTCTAAATTTTCAAGTAAAATAACTTATATATTTTGAACTTATTTAAAAAACGTAAAGAGAAAATTGTTTTTTTTTATCGAGATCTACCATCTCTGAATTTAATGGTGTTAAGATCCGACTGCAGAATTATTACGCTCATTATATTTTTAATCAAACACTAAATTTTATTATATATTTTTGAATAGGGGAATACACTTTTAACAGGGGGCCAATCGAAAAGTACCGCAACTGTGTTTATAATTAACAATAATAATAACTTATTTTGGAGGCGACACACTCATGCACTGAATAAAAATAGTTTTAATTTGACATATAAATGTTCAAAAAATGTTATGAACGTACTGTCGGTCGGCTCCAAAATCAGTTGTTATTAATTGCTTGATTATTATCAATTCAACATATAAAAGTGTATTCCCCTATTCATAAATATACAAGAGTAAAAAAATATGATGAGCGTAATAATCCCGCAACCGGATCCCGTACTATAAGGGCACTTATTTAAGACTGGTGGTCGATTTTTCAACCACAGAAAAGAAAATAGATAATATGTAATGATCTAATATATCGGGTGTTGCATCGTCGGACGGGACATAGGAAATCCCATGTAAATTTTAATGGGGTCAATTATTGGCTTCCCTAATTATTTTAGAGAATAATTCTATTTAGGTTTATTGAAGAGCACTAAAACCCACATTCAAAAGAATAACTTTAGATATTATTGATTAGCTCGTTTACGAGTTATCGCCGATTTCTTTTTATATATTTCTCCTTTCTTATGCCCTGTATTTAGTTATGAGCACCAGTCAAGGTAAAAGATAACTGTCAAATGAAGTTATCATTTCAGAAATTTACCTATTTAGTGCTTTATTATTATTGAAAACTCATTTGTACATCGGAAATCTTAAAGATGTATTTATAAATACAAATTAATATGAATTAAAGTAAAATAAAGTAATCAATTACAAGGTTAATTATAGTATTATTACAATATTCAATAACTTATTAATTTAGGTACTAGTAAATTGTTAGAACTTTAGGATTTAAGAAGATGTTCAAATATACCTCCATCGACAGCTAGACAATAACCCAGGCGATCATAAAATTCTCTTCTTATATTCGCTAGTTGGTAAATAGAATTTTTTAACTCGTCTAGATTTGAGTATTTTTTATCCTTGTATATCCTGTTTTTTAAATGGCCCCAGAGAAAGAAATCATTTGGCGAAATATCAGGAGACCTTGCTGGCCAATTGGCCCTGGCTGTTCGGGAATATTTAGACAATAGCTTTAACGGAAAGGTTATTGACCTAAATAATACAGTAAATTTACTGTATTATTTAGGTCAATAACGTTTCCGTTAAAACTATTGTCTAAATATTCCCGAACAGCCAGGGTACTATGTGCCGAACAGCCATCCATTTGGTACCAAACTTCCTGATTTTCCCTAGCGGCATCTTGTTGAAGCAGGTAAAATATGATTTTCGAGTAGTTCCAAATAATATTCTGCATTTAAATTTCGCGTAAGAAATAATGGCCCGATAATATTGTGTCCGAATATCCAAACATTTACTTTCTGTGGATATTGCGTCCTTGTTTCGACAAACCTGCGTTGGTTTTCTTTGTTCCAATATCGATAATTTTGAACATTGGGTTCATTATTTAAGGTAAACGTGCATTCGTCAGTGAAACATATGTTTTTTTTTTAAATTCCCTATCCTTGTTTGTTCTTTCCATCATATCAAAACAAAACGCCTGCCGCTGTATTTCGTTCCCATCTCGTAGCTCTTGGTGCTTTTCATATTTGAAGGAATAGTATTTATGTTGTTTCAAAATTCGAAACACTGTAGTGTGAGCTATTCCTATTTCATCCTCAAGTTTCCTTGTGCTGGTCTTTCCATCGTTCTCTTCCACGCAAAATAAATCTTCCAAGTCGTTATCATTTCTTGCATCTTCTCTTTATTCCTGCCTTGCTTCACATCTGCAGTTATTTATTAGGGTACCTTTGGTCTCAAATCTCTGGATATTCCTTGCGATTGTAGATTTTCCAGGTGTCGGTCTATTCGGATACAGAGCAGCAAACATGTCCGACACCTTTTGATAACTATTTCCTTGATAATACCATTTAATCATCAATACTTTTTCATTGGTAGTGTAATTCATGGCTAATATATTCGATGTAGGTATGAGTTTTTAATAATAATAATAAAGCACTAAATAGATAAATTTGTGAAATGACAACTTTATTTAACAGTTATCTTTTACCTTGACTGGTGCTTATAAGTAAATACAGGGCTATAAGAAAGGAGAAATATTTAAAAAGAAATCGGCGATAACTCGTAAACGGGTTAATCAAAAATATCTAAAGTTAATCTTTTGTATGTGGGTTTTAGTGCTCTTCAATAAACCTAAATAGAATTATTCCCTAAAATAATAAGGGAAGCCAATAATTGAAACCATTAAAATTTACATGGGATTTCCTATGTCCCGCTCGACGATGCAACACCCGGTATATATTGTTTAAATTGTATGTATTATCCATTGTAAAAAAAGTAATTTTGATTATCTCTGTTAGCTCTCTACTCAAAAATATGCCCATATCAAGTAAATTAAATTTTGATTTTCTAGAAACTCGCATCCTATGAGAAGTGATCGAAAATATACAGGGTATGTTAACGATTTTAGAAAATGTAATCCGAGCTGCAAGTTTGGTGCACTAAATATAAAGAAATAGACGTCACAGATACATTTTCTATATTTTTAAATTTTTGTCACACGAAATTTACATAGAAAATGCGACAATTACCTATATGATACACAGCGAACTCAGTGTCATCAATGCTCACTGGTCGAATATTCAACCGCTTACTTTAACTTTTTGCGCTAATTCGGCCAATGTTTAGATATGGTTGATTAAATGGCCAAAGCGCGCATATAAATAAGCATATCAAACAATCTGGGAGATTTCACACTTCCATGCGACTGATTAGTTGGTTAAATTAAAGTGGTCGATTTAGCGACCATCAACCTATAAAGGGTTAAATTATCGCGGTTATCTTGGTGTTTTTTGAAAAACGGTAAAGAGAAAATATTATGTTTATTTTATCGAGATCTAACAGCCCTGAAAATATTTACACTTATTTAAAATTCACTCTGCATAATTAACAACTACGACAAACTGCAACATTTAATATGAAATAAAATATTTCCAGGTACGGCCCTGGACGACCGAAGAGACTACGACGCAGCCAGCTCGGATAAGAAGTTTGATGAATCCAGAATATCAGGTCAGGGCAAAGTTTTTTTTTATTAGTTTGCAAACCGAAATCCATCTTATTGGTTTATTAAAGTTCGAGGCTCGGAACGTGAGCAGTTTTAGCCGGAGAGAATTAAGCTTGCGACGTTGTCATATTTCGGCTTTTCGGAAACTTGGGCTCTTAGCTAAGATTTACCTCGTTGTGCGGTTTTCGCCAAAAATCGATAGAGGAAATTCGGGAAAGTTTGAAAACGTTTTTAACTAAGGCATTTTTAGTAGAAATCAACTTTTATATTGTAGTTTAATTGTTTCTTTTTTCTTTAGCCATTAGATTATATCCATATATTTTTTTTATTTCTTGGGAATGAGGTTTTATAATAAATTGAAAACGGAAAACTTTTTATGCGACGTTTCGCTCCAATATAATGGGCCAATACAACAATAATAAAAAAATAATAAAATTTGTCATACAGAATATAAAATTTGTTATGTAGTATAAAAATAAAAAACATTAATAATAGTCCGGATTGCGGAAGAGATATAACATCACGTATCGGGCTTTTCAGTCACAGAAAAGCTCATGAAAGAAAACGTCTTGCGTAACCATCTTCTGATGCGTTCTCAAATACTCGTCAGCGAGTAATAGCAGTAAGTAAGTAAGTAAGTAAGAGTATAAGGGAAATTAAAACAACTTTCGTTGCACGTCATCAATGACACCATGCGTCGTGTTATGGACTTTGCTGGTGGTCGTATTATGATGTGCAACGAAAGATATTTTGGTTTCCCCATAGCACAGAATATCTAGCTACGCAACAGAAAAATACTCGAAATGAAAGAGCTAAAATTGCACAAATAGAATACTAGATGGCGCGACAATATCATAATCAGAATATAATTAGAAATTTTGAACTTTCGGTTTTGGATCGACGGCTCGTGGACGGCCTTATAGCACGGCTTATAGCTCGGCTAAATATGCACAGTTGCCAGATTCAAAAAAACTTAAATTGGCATCCCATTCTTTTTATTGTGTATAATACAGTATGTGTTTCTTTTTATTCTTCTTTTCTTGTCAGATACACTTATATTAATTATTGTTTTGGCTATTAAAATAGTTTTAAGTATATTATTACAAAACATATACATTTTTTATATACACTACCTTATAATGTTAACTAAGAAAATACCTTTAATTACCTTTAAAACTAATAACATACAGGGCTATTGACAGTGATATTTATTAATGCAGGAACGTTAGTAATGAAATATAAGTTTAATAATAATGGAAATAATTTATTGAAATGCAGTACAAAAAATGTTAACTGACTAAAAAATACTATAATAACAAATTTCTTCCGTTTGCCACGTTATTTATATAGACCTAGGTAGATTTTAAAAAGTGACACAGGTACAATTAATAATATATTAGTTGGGCATAAAAGTTGCTGTCACGGCATCGAACAATAAATTAAATTCGTAAAATAATTTAAAATTATTAATTAAACAAATCTTTATAAAGAAACGCAAGTATACCAAATTTGGGCCCAGTCGAACTCCAGGAAATGATATCATAATAGTGTACTATATTATGGTACCACTCGATATACTTTAAGGTATCATAATATTGGAATGTCACCGAAGATCCGTAGTATACCAAATTTAAGAACAATCGAACGCCATGAAATGGTATCGTAATATGGTACTATATTAAGGTACCACTTTATATACATCATAGTTCAATCATATTACAATGTAACCGAAGATACTTAGTATACCAAGTTTGAGCCCAATCGAACGCCAGGAAATGGTATCGTAATATCGTACTATATTAAGGTACCACTTTATATGCATCATAGTACCATCATATTACAATGTCACCGAAAATACGTAGTATCCCAAGTTTAAGCCCAATCGAATGCCATGTACGTAATATAGTACTATATTATGGTACCAGTTGATATGCTTCATGGTACCATAATAATGCAATGTCATCAAAAATACGCAAGTATATATCAAATATGTGCTCAATCGAACACCACAAGAGACTCTCAATAATTCGAATTAAGTAAAACAAGACAAGTTTGGGTTAACGAGACTCCACTTGCCACGCCCTTTCTAATTTGAAGTTCAATAAAAAACAAGTTTACTTAATTAGGATGAGTTGCATAGAAGCCACTAGCTTTTTAATTTTAACAGCCGGGGTTCAAAGATATTAATAAAAGGGCGCCACGAGAATATACTCTATGAACTCGGCAATAAAGATGTAACTATTAAGTAGACTTCAACACTAACCTCGAACTGTTGAGTGCAACTATCATGAACTTCAAATATTCTATAACTATTTGTACTTAAGTGACTCTAACTTAACTATGAGACTAGACTGCAAATAATACTACTAAAATATTTAAGCAATTTATTGAAATATCAAAAAGGTTAAATGTATAAAGAAAATGATGAAAAATATATGAAATGAAGTAAAGTTTAAATCGATAAGAATAAATGAAAAATAAAAATGGTCTAAGCTATACTAAAACTAAGACGTCATCCCCCTTAACTTAAACTAAGTATGCTCTAAGGGCGCAATACAAATAGCAAATCTAAACCTAACTAAAATCTAAACAGTCTTACTCTACTCGATGTGATATACTTGAAAACAACTCGGAAGTTCCTCCGGCTGAGCTACGGTGTATAGCTACAGGGTGGCTACGGCAGTGCACAGCAGCTCGGTGTACTGTCACTGGAGCCCGCGGATGTCAGCAGACGTACGGATGCCGGCCAGGTGTAGGACTTCAAAAGGTGAACATAAAAACCCTAAATCATATTGGTTGTCTTAGAAAAGAGCCTCAATTATAGAACAAGGACTAGCCCAACGTGTAGGAGTTAATAAAGGCAATAAAGAAGGACTAATCAAATCTGAACTTTACCTCAACGAGGGTTTATGATGTCCAACGGGTAACTCTACACACGGGCAACAGGAACGGATGGAATTCTGGACTGTTCTGTGCTGTACGGTCTGGATCGGTCTTCTTGCTCTACAATTACGAACAACCAAATAAGACTTAAGAAAGATAACACTCAACTAATCTTTCTACACCACGTGGGCGTGAAAAAGTCGAAAACCAGACAACAATATGAACAAAAATCAGTTGAGCATAGACTTAAAATAGGCAGAAGAATTATAGCATACCTTGGAACTATGCGGGGACTTCTTGGGCACGTGGAATCGGGATATCGGTCGGAAAAATTTGGCTATTTAATCCCTTACGGATATTGGTCGGTGGTCCATGTAAACTCAACAAAATCCAACCACGTCTCTGACCAAATATGTTTCGGAAGCCTTAATCCTTCTGTACGAAGACCTGCTATTCACCAACAGGGAATGCTTCACGAAACGGCAGCCAGCTCTTCACGATGATACCCGGTCGGGGAGTACACAAGAAGTGATGCAAGGATTCGATTTCCTTCACAAAATCAGATTTCAACCGGAAATCTCCCTCCAGGATATAGATAGAGAACTACATATCTTGACTAGTCCAACTCACAAAAAGGCATAAATAAAAAATGATGTTCTAGAATATTTTTCGCCAGCCATATTTCATATCCGGTCAATGAACGAACTTAACTCAGAAATTCCACAATTAAATGAACAAATTGCACACTGCGATCCACATCAAAAATAACCAATTTAACTACGAAATTTTATCTGATAATTATAAAATTTCAATAACCAAAATAACGGATAAATAAATCCAAAAACATCTGATTTGATCTGACAATGACAAGTGACAGACAAAAGTGATGATCAAAAATATAGAGAGATGGACAAAAAGCCTACTGCTGGTCTGCCTGGTCCAGTGACAATATTGTGTATCTATAGCGCGGTGTATATCGGGTTGCATAATTGTAAAATTTAAATAAAATAATATTTAACAATAAAATTATAGTAAATATGATGCAAAAATAATAGTTATTTGCGATAATTTATGAGCTAGCACACAGAGGTCGTTGCGAGGAAATTTGACTGTTACACACTGTATCTGACATTTAGAATTATCGAAATATTAGTAAAATTTGCAGACTTTTTTAAAAAGTTTGACTTTTTATAAGAATGAATGTATGCGCTCTAAGGTATTCAAATATTATCAGAATTTTGTCACAAAAAATATAATATCTGGTACAAAGACACATAAAAACATTAAACCTAATAGTAAAAAATTTGTTGAGTCAGTAAATCCGTACTTTATTATTGAATTTTTGTTTGCGTAATAATAATTGTTCTTCGTAACTAGACATCTCTATAACTTAGTTAAATTAAACTTTATTTAAATATCTACGACGACTTAGATGTCACTTAAAACTGCCAATTTTCCTCTCTTTTTCTTAATTTAGTACAATTAAAAGTAGTAATAAGTAGTTAATTAAAAGAAGTAATTAAAAGTTCCTTACTGTAAGGCGCGGAAAGTTTGGAAGCCAAAAAGAACAATAGAAGAAAATTAGATACGACCAAAACTGGATGTGTTCAGACGCTAACTGGGATTATTTAAAAGAGAACGAAAATACTTGCGAGGAAATTACGCCATGAATAAGACTACAAGATAACTTACGTTAAAGAACTGATAACAGGAATTACACACAGTATGGAGAGTAAAGAAGAAAAGTAGAACAAATCGAATAAACAAAGTCACTGACAAAAGTTTAACTCATGAATACATTATATAATATATTAAAATACTTTCGTTAGGAGATTACGATTATGCAATTTATCGATTCCGACTTTTAATATAAAAAAAATAATTATGCCTGTGTTAGACCTGCTACAAGCTGGTTTATACCACCCTCTGCACTATGCCCAAAATGTTTTACCAACTATTTCCAGAAATATTTTGCGAAACATTTCGCGAAGCATTTCAAAATTCAAATTCAAATTCAAAATTCTTTATTCATGTGAATTACCATTAAGGTTTACAATCGTCAATGTTATCAAGCCTTGCAAGATACAAAGTAAAAAGTAAAAAAGTGAAATGAGGTAAATAT